TATCTTATTATATTTTATTTTGCTGTATGCAATTGTACATTACAAGGCAATTAAAGTCGTCCAGAAGGATTTTAGCTCCGTCAAATCAGAGCTGTCATATGTCAAATAGTACGTAGGGTAGTTTTTAGACAGTTACTGTATTCTGGTGTACACATATGCTGAAAGATAAAAACAGAAAAAGCAAAAAAGACGAAAAGTCGAAATAAGCAGTCGCGAAGAGAGTTACGAAATGAGCATTGAAAGTTTTAATAGCGTTTTCTCCCTCTATCAAAAAGCAGTCGGAAGCATCACAATGGAGTGATATTTAAAATGACTTACTTGTTTCAAGATGTATACATCTTTGGATGCCATTATCAAAACCATTCGTCTGGAAATAAGACAGAAAACTTTCAAAGAACTCGTCTTCAGAATGCGGACGAAACCCCCCAATGCAAATGTTTTCTTTTATAAATCTAGTAAAGAAAAACATGCACCAGCTCCAAAATGTATTACTTTGTTTTTATAAGACGAGTAGAAAATGTTCATGTAACACAAATTACCTTTTCGTAGTATGCAAAGCCCTTTTCTGTTTTCAAATTGTTTCCTCTTTTGTCCACTATTTTCGAATTCAACTCGCATACTCGAGTCTTGTTTTCTGACACATCTTCAAAGTTGAAGGACAAGCATGCCGGCTCATCAAGGCATTTCAAGGAGCACTGGAGTCTGTTATAAACGTCGTGTGTGCTGAGAACGGAATACGCCAGTCGTACATCTTTATCGCAGTTAGCGGGTCGCTGTAAAAAACTTGGTGTTCTTTGCCCCATGGTAACCAAAATGCTCAGGATTGTAAGACAAAATAATCCCGGCATGATTCACGGTTTTTGGTCCTCAAGGTTTATGGTTCTCGTTCTTTATGTTGAAACTTAGCCGCTCGTCAACTATTTTATACCCTTTCAATATCATCGGGTTATATTCACTTAAATAGAATTATTTCCAATGCAATTACCTAGGTACAATGGAGTAATGAAACTTGATCCTGATTTTCCTTTTCAGCAAAAGTTCAATATTTTCCTTTGCATTTGCAGTTTGAATAGCAATTTTTTAAAACCGATTATTAAATAAGTTTTCTCCCATTCTTCATTGTAATATATTTACTTTGGTTGTTTGTTCCTGAAACCACGGGGGATCACTGGAAATTGAGGGATCTCTTCTGTAACTTAATCGCTGACATTCAACAATAGCTTGCCGGGCAGAAAACGTTCAAGCAAACAGAGTAAAACAAAAGACGAAAAAATGAACAAATAGCAGGAACATTGTATCGATTAGATTAATTGGCAACATTTCTAATGTAAAACGATAATGTTAACTGCAAGAATTGAATTGTCAATGCTTTCACTGATCTTAAAATGTCCAAATAGAAACTTGGTGCGCTGGGCAATCGAAAAAGGAAAGAGAACTGTCGAATCCCTGCACTTAGAGCTTTATAACTGCCGAACTAATTTAACTTTTTGTGTTATGATTTTACTTTTACCAACTTGATTTAACTGATGGTTTGTAGTTTTAAGGACCATTTTAAGTAATGTCTAAATTTAGATTAACTTTAAATTTGGCAAAAATTGCTGCATGTTATTTCATTGTGCAAATTAAATGAATAAATGAACAATTTATCTTCATTATCAAAACAGTTATTTACGGTTCCATAGAAAAGTATTTACTGATATTTTAGTGATAGTAGATACTTTGGAACAGATACTTTGGAACAAAAAAGTAATGAAATAGCTCTGGGATTTCAAGTAATCAACGGGAACGCGTTCCTCGCCAGACATGCCCTTTGTATTTGGTAGGGGGGCGATTTCACACCTTGTTGTTGAATAGTGCACATCCCTGTCTATGTAAGGTAAACGCAAGACAAGCATGGTTTATAGAAAAAAAAGGTATATTTAGAACCCCAGAACATGACCCCATAGCGGAATCCGTTTATGTGTGAGTCAGCGGAGTCACCGCGGAGCCCCGGATGATCAAATAGAGACGTCTACCCTTCTCACTGAAAAATCCATATTAATTTCCCATCATAATCGATAGTCCTATCCTCTCGCACAACTCCAGTCCCCAAACACGGTCTTACATCGTTGAAGGGTACAAAAGAATGACATCGATCTCTTTGCTTCATTGCAGAACTTGAGACACTAGGTCAATAAAACGTGATGTTCCTACTGGAGTACGGCAGGGTAGGCTTTTCCTAGATTTATATATAGGTATCTTAACAGCATAAAATGATACGATAACGTTTAAATGGCCAGACTGCTGCCTCTGATAAAGCAAGCATGTACAGAATAGTGAAAATACCCCATGAGAAAGGATATTACCCCAAGGTCAGAAAACCGTCCATGTCCTTACTGCAATAAACCAGAGGACATTATATATGCTAATAAGAAAAATGTAACCAGGAAATATAAAAAAATTATGTCATGCAACGATCATCCAAAACTTTCTCAAAAGTAATGATGATAATTTTTTTTCACTTGCTCCATCTCTGCAAATATAGTGAAATTCCTTTTCAAAATATGAAGCTCTTACAGTGTATAATCCTAGTTTGCGTTGTAAAGTAAACGTTATCGCTGTATTTATTCATTACCTTATTTACTTGACAAAAGAGCAAATGAAGTAAGAATTTTATTTCATGGCAGAATGTTTGTCAGAATTGAATTTTCAATGGGACCGATTGGAAATTCACATTACATTTTTCTTAAGTGTGTTTATGTTAAAGACAAAAGCGGTGAAGAATAAGCGCTTATAAAATCAGATATTCAAACCTATTTTTGTCTGAACGAATTTTATTTATTATCAGCATCTGTGTGTGATCTCAAATTTATAGACATTCAGGAAATATAAATGTTTAATTCGTGGATCTTCGCCTTTTTATAAGATATTCACAGATATGTCGCGGGCTAATCCATGTTACAATTCTCAAAAGGGAATCCTTCTGTGGCCCTTGTAGAGGGCACCCTTGTCCAGTCGTTGTTTGGATCAAAGAAACAATGAAGTGACGCGCGATTGCAGTAGAGAAGACGGAATCTCACTCCACAACTGACAATGTTGTAAAAAATAATGACAATAAAAAAAAAATAAATAATAATAATAATATTTATTTATTTATAGTCTAAAAACCATATAAAATGTTCAGTAGACTTTACATAAGTAAAATGAACAGAATAGGATGAATAAGGTCAATAAATAAATAGGTAGTTAAAATATTAAGATTTTAAAATGTGTAGTAAAGTGTAAATAAATATACAGACAGTTAAGATTTTAAGATTTCAAAATAGATAGTACAGTGTAAAAGATAACAGCCAGTCAAATCAGTTGTAAAACTTTTTGAAAATAAGGAAAGCAAAAAGAAAGAAAGAAAACGAAAAAAGTTGTGTAACTGACAGAAACCAAGTTAACGTGAAACCATTTCATTTCATGATTTAAGCATAGAGTCATCCATTTCAAATGAAATTGTCATTTCGCTTTAATATTTTACAGAAGAAGAGGGATGAACGTACACACTTTTGGGATAGTTTTGTTCTATAAGTACTTAGAACCATTTTCTACGCAAATGATAAGCTATGGAAGGCAATGGAAGGTAATGAATACAACTCCATTGTCTTTTAAACGTATAATTTCGTCCCAGAATTATTCCCACTCTTGTAAAATAGTCTTCAATTCAAATGCTGTAAGCCCAGTGATAAATCTAAAAAAATTCGTGCACCTGGATGACCACTCTACATAGTATTGACATTAGTGTGAGATATAATAGGCCCCATTCATTAAAGATGATCCAAGTACAAGATCAAATCCTGGATCCGAGGTTTTATTGCTAGGCCCCTGCTACGGCGCGTGTGGAGGCAGGGAGACAATCAGGAATCAGCGGCATCTCTTTTGAAGTGTGGCCGGCCATATTTAGTCGGCGGATCAGTTAGTACTCGGATCATCTATTCTGAATGGGACCATAAAGGTCTACAAACTGCTTAGTGAAATAACGAAGGAAAGAAAAATACGATTACAAATTGAGCTGTGATCCATTTAATACAGTTTTTATGGTTACAATAAATGAAATAAATTAATTAAAAGACTACATAATATGAAATAATATTCTGTAACAATGTTTAAATATGCTAGCGCTTTTCATTTTGTTCTGTTTTCATTTATGGAGTTGCTAGAATTACTTTAACAAAAAAAAAAAAAAAATACAATACAATACAATACAATACAATACAATACAATACAATACAGTGTCTTGTTTTTATACACGTATTTACAAAACATCCATAAATTCATGTACATGAATATAATGGATATAAGGTAGGACTGCTGTGCTGTATCCACTTAAGGTCTCTGACAGACAGTTGCTTTCGATCAACAAGCTCCATTAGAATTAAAGAATAGTTAAACTATACGAAATGTTTGTTTTTTCTAAACACATGTCAATTAAGTAAAGGTGTTTTGTGCATCACATCCCTTGTCAGTCGATGGACGCTTTCGATGGGTTAATTTCGATTTCACTTTTACAGAGGGGAACTGGCGGCTTCTGTGATATCAACATTTACAAGAACGAGAATTTTTTTTACAAAAGGTACTTTCACATGTATTTACATTTTAAAGATCTTCTTAGTTTTCGATCCATTAAAACCAGACGGTTTCCGGGGGACCAAGGCCATCCGTAATCTGCAATACTGCTCAGAATAAGATAATTTTATAAACGACAAAGGAAATTTTAAAATATTCATTGGTATAAAGTGAAGCACGGGTATGCGGCATGCAGCAATTAAAAGATAATGTTTTTAGCAAAACGAGCAGGGAAAGAGTCGGTTTCCTTTAAAAGATCACCTTAAATCTCTTTCCGGATGGGCCCGTTCATTCATTACCTTCTTGTAAAATGTATATAGAGCTTTTACGATCTCTTAACGTAACAGTTAACTGCAATGTTGGGCTCTTGTCTCAGAACGTATAGCTATAGTTTTGAAACACAGCCGTGGCTAAACAAAACGGAAGGCAGCATCAGGACTAGTTTGAATATGTTGGTGTAGGTATATACGATAATTTATATGGCGAAGGTAGTAAGTGGCCATCGTAGAAGCTTCCAGGGCAAACCATCCGGTGTGTAGAATATCCTGCCTGATGATAAAGGTCGCCTCCTCATCAAAATGCAAACTGCCTTGTGCTGGCGCTGGACGGTATTCAAGATTGGTATAGGCCGAGTTAGAGATCTTGTAACGAAAGAACCAATGAGGTTTGTCAACAGATTCGATGGACATCGTTCCCGCCACTCCGGTTAGACCGGGAATCCAAATGTTGAAGGTTTTGGCGTCACCGTTGATAATGCGGCAGTAATTGGTATTGCTGTCGTAGGTCATGAAGTAAGACTGAAAGTTATAGGACTGAATTTTCACACCCTTCTGAAGATAGGTTGGAGCTGGAACTGTCAAAATAAATGAATAAAATAAAATAAAATAAAATAAAAAATAGAAAAAAAAATCTTAAAACACGGATTTATCTTAAAGCATGGATAGAAGTCAAAGCAAGCAACTTCAGACCCTCCATGTACACCCAAATATAACATTTTCTTCAAATCCTGTCATTTTCACTCAAATGAACCTTTACGTCAGTCTATTCTGACGCATGTACATGTATACGAGTTTCAAAATCATCATTTTTTCAGTTCCTTATTAAACAGTTACCAAGATAGACCACTCTGTACACCAACACAATTTGCTTCAATCTTGCTTTAATTCCCTAGAGGCTAACATCAAATTGTGCAAGAATAGGAAAGATGTTTCAAGATGCTAAAGCCAGCACCTATGTCGACATTGCGCCATTTTGTTACTGATAAAACGAAATAACGAAAACAAAATACAGATTTAGGGCTTAATTTTGTTTACGCGTCACCAGAATATACTTACGGATTTTAAAAGAAACGCTGTTTTTGTAGACATCAGTATCTTGAAAAGAACTCACAGACAAAAGGTGGCTGCCGTGAGAAATATATTTCCCTGGATCATACGCTGCCTCAAACGCCAAATACCCGGTAAACCAAGTTCCGTATCGAATTTTGAAGGTAGCGTCCTCGTAGAAAGTTTCTGGACTGTAAGATTCTGGATCGGTTCCCCAGAGATCTACGGCGTTGGTGTCTGCACGGTACCGAAAGAAGTGACCCGGTTTATCGTTGGACTCGATGGAAACAGTTCCTTCATCTCCCGTCAATCCAGGTCGTAGGATTCGGAAAGTCTTTCTGTCGTCCAGAAGGATTTTAGCTCTGTCTGAAGCGCTGGTGTCGTATGAAAAGTAATATGTCGGGAAGTTCTTAGACTGGAGATGTATATCTGTGTATACATATGCTGTAAGATTGAAACAGGTCGTTATTTGGGCTATATAACATGGCATCATATTATATTTTATTTGGATGTGTGCAATTGTATACTTTAAGACAAAGACATTAAGATCTTAAAATTTATTCATGTCAGAATCAGAACTGTCATCTGTAAAATAGCATGTCGGGAATTTTTTAACAGCAACTAGATATAAGCAGCCGCAAAGAGAGATTGAAAAGATCGTTTGAATACCGTTTTCTCTCTATATGTATATAAAAAAGATGTCCTTTATGTTGGAGCATTATAAAGCATGGTCATAATTAAAGTGACTTACTTGTTTCATTTAGTGTACAGCTTTGGATACCATTATCAAACCCACTCGTCTGGAAATAAAACAAAGAAAACTTTCTAAGAACACCATTTCATCATTAATTTAGAAAAAGCTAAATATGTACCAGCTATCTGAAATATTACACTGTTTGTTACTACTAGAAGATATTGTTTTATGTAGCAGATATTAAAAATTACCTTTTCGTAGTATGCAAAGCCCTTTTTTGTTTTCAAATTGTTTCCTCTTTTGTCCACTATCTTCGAATTCAACTCGCAAACTCGAGTCTTGTTTTCTGACACATCTTCAAAGTTGAAGGACAAGCATGCCGGCTGTTCAAGGCATTTCAAGTAGCACTGGAGTCTGTTATAAACGTTGTGTGTGCTGAGAACAGAATACGCCAGTCGTACATCTTTATCGCAGTTAGAGGGACGCTGTAAAAAACTTGGTGTTCCTTGCCCCGTGGTAACCAAAATGGTCAAGATTGCGAGACAAAATAATCCCGTCATGATTCACGGTTTTTGGTCCTCAAGGTTTATGGTTCTCGGTCTTTATGTTGAAACTTAGAAGCTCGTGAACTATTTTATACCATTTCAGTATCACTCAAATAGAATTATATCAATGCAAATACCTAGGTACAAAGAAAAAATGAAACTTGATCGTTATTTTCCTTTTCACTGAAAGTTCAATATTTCCCTTTGCATTTGCAGTTTAAATAGCAACTTTTTAAAACTGATTATTCAACACGTTTTCTCCCATTCTTCATTGTTATATATTTACTATTGGTTGTTTGTTCCTGAAACCACGGGGGATTACTGGAAATAGATGTATCTCTTCTGCAACTTAGTCGCTGACTTTCAGCAATAGCTTGCCGGGCAGAAAACGTTCAAGCAAACAGAGTGAAACAAAAGACGAAAAAATGAACAAATAGCAGGAACATTATATCGATTAGATTAATTGGCAACAATTCTAATTTAAAACGATAATGTTAACTGTAAGAATTGAATTGTCAGTGCTTTCAATGAATATCTTAAAATGTCCAAATAGAAACGTGGTGAGCTGGGAAAAAGGAAAGAGAACTATCGAATCCCTGCACTTAGACCTGTATAACTGCCGAACTAATTTAACTTTTTGTTTAATGATTTTACTTTTACTACCCTGAGTGTCAGAGCAACGTAAAAGCTAGCTTGCTAAATATACCTTGTGGTGGAGTCGCTTTTACTAACTCTGAAGACCAGCGGCCATGAAAGTTTTCCATCAATCAAATAGAACTGCTCCGCAGTGAAAATGCAGTTGAATGTCATCAGACCAAAATAAAACGTAAAACAAATTTAATTCTGCTTTATTTAATTTTATTTGCTGTATTTAAGATGTAAAGTGAAAATATAAATAATATTCTTCGGAAAGAAAAGATATATCCAATGTTTTTGTATTTTTTGCTTATCAAAGAACATTTAGTCCTGAGATATACACATGCACAATACATGTGCTTGCCGTGTGCCAAATTTGACAGCTACACTGTATGCCCGATACCACTATAAGGGCTGCGCAATGGCTACACGAACAGCAGAATGTTGCTTGTATTGTGGCACTAACCTTCGACTGCAAGATATTTTCATTTCAAACTTCTAACTCCGCGTCAGGCACTTTAATTGCTTCTTGTCTCGCCTGCACGAGACTTCAGCGCAAGGCGGGAAAGGCAGCTCCAGGCGGCCAAACCTGTGACGTACGAGACTTATGACTTCCAAATATGGATCCAGGCGGACACAGCTGTGACGTGTGACTTCCAAATATGGAAGCGCCCCAGGCAGAATTTTGAAGAAGAACGCCCCCGAGTTGCCACTGTTCGCTAGAGTCTGGTATTGCTACTATGGGTTATATATGAAATCAAGATCGAGCTGGCAATACCGGAATATAGAACCTAGGGTAACTTTTACCAACTTGCTTTAACTGATGGTTTGTAGTTTTAAGGACCATTTTAAGTAATGTCTAAATTTAGATTCTTTAAATGTGGCAAAAATTGCTGCATGTTATTTCATTGTGCAAATTAAAGGAATAAATGAACAATTTATCTTTACTATCAAAACGGTTATTTATGGTTCCAAGGAGAAGTATTTACTGATATTTTAGTGATAGTAATCACGTACTTTGGAACAAAAAAGTAATAAAATAGCTCTGGGATTTCAAGTAATCAACAGGGACGCGTTCCTCGCCAGACATGCCCTTTGTATTTGGTGGGGGGGGGGGGGGGCGATTTCACACCTTGTTGTTGAATAGTGCACATCCCTGTCTATGCAAGTCAAGCATGGTTTTGTGCAAAAAAAAAGTATATTTAGAACTCCAAAACATGGACCCACATAGCGGTATTCGTTTATGTGTGAGTAAGCGGAGTCACTGCGGAGCCCCGGATGATCAAATAGAGACTACTACCCTTCTCACTGAGAAATCCATATTTATTTCCCTCCCCAGGGAGGTGAGATTGTGTACTCAGCGTGTTTTGACCAGTTGTATAGGCCTAATTGTTATATGTATGTACATATTTGTAAAGTCTAACGTACATATTCATATGGTGTTTAGCCTTAAAATAAATGAATTATTATTATAAATGTATTATTATAATCGATAGTCCTATCCTCTCGCACAACTCCAGTCCCAAAACACGGTCTTACATCGTTGAAGGGTACAAAAGAATGACATCGATCTCTTTGCTCCATTGCCGCACTTGAGACACTAGGTCAATAAAACTTGATGTTCTTACCGGAGTACGGCAGGGTAGGCTTTTCCTAGATTTATTTATAGGTATCTTCACAACATAAAATGATACGATAACGTTTAAATGGCCAGACCGCTGCCTCTGATAAAGCAAGCATGTAAAGAATGTTTAAAATACCCCATGAAAAAGGATATTACCCCAAGGTCAGAAAACCGTCCGTGTCCTTTCTGCAATGAACCAGAGGACACTATATATTCTAATAAGAAAAATATAACCAGGAAATATAAAAAATTATGTCATGCAACGATCATCCAAAATTTCTCTAAAGTAATGATGATAAAATTTTTTTCAATTGCTCCGTCTCTGCAAATGTGGTGAAATTCCTTTTCAAAATATGAATTGCAGCGACGGCGCGAGTGGAGGCGGGGAGACCATTAGTAATCAGCAGCATCCGTTTTGAAGTGTGCTCGGCCATATTTAGTCGGCGGATCAGTTAGTACTCGGATCATCTATTCTGAATGGGACCATAAAGGTCTACAAACTGCTTAGTGAAATAACGGAAGAAAGAAAAATGCGATTGCAAATTGTGCTGTGATCCATTTAATGCAGTTTTATGGTTACAATTAATGAATTAAATAAATTAAAAGACTACATAATGTGAAATAATATTCTGTAACAATGTTGAAATATGCTGGCGGTTTTTCATTTTGTTCTGTTTTCATTTATGGAGTTGCTAGAATTACTTTAACAAAAAAAAAAAAAAATACAATACAATACAGTGTCTTGTTTTTATACACGTATTTACAAAACATCCATAAATTCTTGTACATGAATATAATGGATATAAGGTAGGACTGTTGTGCCATACCACTAAAGGTCTCTGACAGACGGTTGCTTTCGATCAACAAGCTCCGATTTAATTTCCCATAGTTAAACTATACGAAATGTTTGTTTTTTCTAAACACATGTCAATTAAGTAAAGGTGTTTTGTGCGTCACATCCCTTGTCAGTCGATGGAGGCTTTCGATCGGTTAATTTCGATTTCACTTTTACAGAGGGGAACTGGCGACTTCTGTGATATCAACATTTACAAGAACGAGAATTTTTTACAAAAGTTACTTTCACATGTATTTACATTTTAGTTTTATTCATTACAGTTTTCGATCCATTAAAACCAGACGGTTTCCGGGGGACCAAGGCCATCCGTTAATCTGCAATACTGCTCAGAATAAGATAATTTTATAAAAGACAAAGGAAAATGTTAAATATTCATTGGTATTAAGTAAAGCACGGGTATGCGGCATGCAGCAATTAAAAGATAATGTTTTTAGCAAATCGAGCAGGGAAAGAGTCGGTTCCCTTTAAAAGATCACCCTAAATCTAATTCTAAAGGCCGGATGGGCCCGTTCATTCATTACCTTCTTGTAAAATGTAGGCCCTATATAGAGCTTTTACGATCTCTTTACGTAACAGTTAACTGCAATGTTGGGCCCTTGTCTCAGAACGTATAGCTGAAGCTTTGAAACACAGCCGTGGCTAAACAAAACGAAAGGCAGCATCAGGGCTTGTTTGAATATGTTGGTGTAGGTACATACGATAATATGAATGGCGAAGATAGTAGTTAGACATCGTAGAAGCTTCCAGAGCAAACCATCCGGTGTGTAAAATATCCTGCCTGATGATAAAGGTCGCCTCCTCATCAAAATTCGAACTTCCTTGTGCTGGGGATGGTCGGTATTCAAGATTGGTATAGGCCGAGTTAGAGATCTTGTACCGAAAGAACCAATGAGGCTTGTCAACAGATTCGATGGACACCGTTCCCGCCACTCCAGTTAGACCGGGACTCCAAATGTTGAAGGTTTTGAAATCACCGTTGATAATATTGCAGTAGTTGGTATTGCTGTCGTAGGTCATGAAGTAAGACTGATAGTTATAGGACTGAATTTTCACACCCTTCTGAAGATAAGTTGGAGCTGGAACTGTCAAAAAAAAAATAATAATAATAAAATAAAATAAAATAAAATAAACAAATAACATCTTAAAGCATGGATAGAAGTCAAAGCAAGCAACTTCAGACCCTCCAGGTACACCCAAATATAACATTTTCTTTAAATCCTGTCATTTTTACTCAAATGAACCTTTACGTCAGTCTATTCTGACGCATGTACATGTATACGAGTTTCAAAATCATCATTTTTTCAGTTCCTTATTAAACAGTTACCAAGATAGACCACTCTGTACACCAACACAATTTGCTTCAATCTTGCTTTAATTCCCTAGAGGCTAACATCAAATTGTGCAAGAATAGGAAAAATGTTCAAGATGCTAAAGCCAGCACCTATGTCGACATTGCGCCAGTTTGTTACTGATAAAACGAAATAACGAAAACAAAATACAGATTTAGGGCTTAATTTTGTTTACGTGTCATCAGAATATACTTACGGATTTTAAAAGAAACGCTGTTTTTGTAGACATCAGTATCTTGAAAAGAACTCACAGACAAAAGGTGGCTGCCGTGAGAAATATATTTCCCTGGATTATACGCTGCCTCAAACGCCAAATATCCGTTAAACCAGGTGCCATATCGAATTTTGAAGGTAGCGTCCTCGTAGAAAGTTTCTGGACTGTAAGATTCTGGATCGGTTCCCCAGAGATCTACGGCGTTGGTGTCTGCGCGGTACCGAAAGAAGTGACCCGGTTTATCGTTGGACTCGATGGAAACAGTTCCTTCCTCTCCCGTCAATCCAGGTCGTAGAATTCTGAAAGTCTTTCTGTCGTCCAGAAGAATTTTAGCTCTGTCAGAAGCGCTGGTGTCGTATGAAAAGTAATATGTCGGGAAGTTCCTAGACTGGAGATGTATATCTGTGTATACATATGCTGGAAGATTGAAACAGGTCGTTATTTGGGCTATATAACATGGCATCATATTATATTTTATTTGGATTTGTGCAATTGTATACTATAAGACAAAGACATTAAGATCTTAAAATTTATTCATGTCAGAATCAGAACTGTCATCTGTAAAATAGCATGTCGGGAATTTTTTTACTGCAACTAGATACTGGTATGTTCATGTGCTGAAAGATGAAAGAAAACCTCCATATTTAATAGAATAATATAAGCAGCCGCAAAGAGAGATTGAAAAGATCGTTTGAATACCGTTTTCTCTCTATATGTATATAAAAAAGATGTCCTTTATGTTGGAGCATTATAAAGCATGGTCATAATTAAAGTGCCTTACTTGTTTCAGTTAGTGTACAGCTTTGGATACCATTATCAAACCCACTCGTCTGAAAATAAAATAAAGAAAACTTTCTAAGAACACTACTTCATTTCATCATAAATTCATAAAAGCAAAACATGTACTAGCTATCTGAAATATCATACTGTTTGTTGCGACTAGAAGATAATGTTTTATGTAGCAGATATTAAAAATTACCTTTTCGTAGTAAGCAAAGCCCTTTTTTGTTTTCAAATTGTTTCCTCTTTTGTCCACTATTTTCGAATTCAACTCGCAAACTCGAGTCTTGTTCTCTGACACATCTTCAAAGTTGAAGGAGAGGCATGCCGGCTCATCAAGGCATTTCAAGTAGCACTGGAGTCTGTTATAAACGCCGTGTGTGCTGAGAACGGAATACGCCAGTCGTACATCTTTATCGCAGTTAGCGGGACGCTGTAAAAAACTTGGTGTTCCTTGCCCTGTGGTAACAGAAATGATCAAGATTGTAAGACAAAATAATCCCGTCATGATTCACGGTTTTTGGTCCTCGAGGTTTACGGGTCTTGGTCTTTATGTTGAAACTTACTCGTTCTTCAACACTATTTATAGCCTTTACATAATTATCAGTCTATATTAATTCAAATGAAATTATTTTTATCACAATTACTTTGTTAAAAAAAAGAAAATTGATCTTAATTTCCTTTTAGGTTATTATCCACTAATGGAAAAATGTTTTCCTCCTTTGCTTTTGCAGTTTGAATAGCGTTTCTTGTACTGATATGAGAGCAAGTTTTTTTCCCCATTTCTTTCTCATAGTTAATGTGCCATCTGTTATTTGTTTTTCAAGCCTACTAGAGCTTACCGGAAATTGAGGAAGTTCCTCCATAAACTGCTTGCTGGCTTTTAGAAATATGCCGTTCGACTGTCTAAGATGAAGCAAACAATGGAAAACAAAGTGCAACTAAAATTAACAATTGGCACGAATACTGTATCGACTAAATCATTGAGCAACTTTTCTCATGCTAATGATAATGTTAACTGTCAACACTTTCTTTCTCAAGATTTTCAAATCTCAGAATGGGAACATGGTGCGCTGGCGATAGAAATAAGGAAAGAGAATATCGAACCCCTGCACTTACACTTGTACGACTGCAAAACTCCTCTAATTTTGTGTGTTATGACCTTACATTTTTCAACTTGCTTTTACTGATGGGTTGCATTTATTTATTTATACGTCTACACGTATTTGAATACAAAACTTGATTATACAAAATAAATATACGTTACAAGGATTAGGACAGTTAATGTCTAATTATAAACAGCTGTGAATTTACCTACAGTGTACGTAAATCCGTGTCAAATTAACAATTATAGCACTTTGCCATGTATTTGTTAATTAAAAACTTATCAGAACATGAATTCTCATGTGGTTTGTAGATGTGCTTCTAGAGTCCATCTTGGACACACACACACGCGCACACACGCACACACACACACACACACAAAAAAAAGAGGTCAATTTCTTGTTTGTCCTAAATTCACGTGAGATTTCGCGGGATTTGCGGGGAAATGGGATCAGAAATAATGGCAATCAAATAGCTGATTGAATTCATCCACACATATGTAGATCTAGGCCATATGGCATGATGTCGCGCAGCGCTGACAGCCTCGTTTTTTAAGGCTATATCGGATGGGTTTTGATTGTGACGTCATTTCCTCTAATCCCCAGTACCACGCAACGATTCATTGTGACGTCATTGCTTTCATAGAAACCGCACTGTCGAAATGTAGATATGCGCGTATTCAAAATGTTGCGAATAATAATGCAAAAAATATGCCTTCCTGGCTAAGAAGAGCCTGGAGAAGAGTCAGTTGTTGTTCTTCGGGTTCGACCCGAGTTATAGAGTTCAGGATACCAGACTCCGTAACCGAGAACAATGAAAAACTGACACAGTAAGTATTGCTTTCCTTTGCTCTTACTAGAGACTCCATATTCATATATTACGTTGTATCATTACTCTCAATGCCTACGAATTATGAAAAGTTGTGTATTACATAAATATAACAAACCAGCACTAGCGTCAATTCAATGATTATCTAGTCTCATTTAAGTGAAAGAAAATGAAAAGTTATACAAAAACTTCCTTCAATCAGCGGCCTGTTTCTCTCTTATAATGGAGAGGTTTAAATTTCTTTAACAAATAATCTTAGTTAGAAATAATGAGTAGGGATCGCATGTATAGTATGTTAAGGTATTATTGTGTTACTTGGCACTTGGCTTGTGGGCAGGGACTTTGTTTTTTTTTTTTTGTTTTTTTTTTTTTTTGTTATTTAAACAATGGGTTTATATGATATCCCTTTCTGCACAAATTAAATGGTAAAGTAAGGTTTTTTTTAAAAGATATAAGCCAAGCATGCAGATTTTAAAAAATAATTTACAACATCTTTTCTGCCCATTTTTTGCATCATCTGTCTTTGTAAATAAAAAGTTACATTCCATTGGAAGCTAAACCTATCATGCATGCCAGAACTAATTCACTTGCTTTGTCAGATATAATTTTCTGTATCGAAGATTGGATGATCAAAACGATGTCAGCCACCTTGGGTCACCTATAAAAAGAGTTCAAAAGCACAAATAATATAAGTTATTTTATACCTACAACTAATATAAACTATTCAAGGCCTAATTAGGATTGCTGCATACTGGCGCTTTTAACTTTAAAAAAAAATATTCTCATTTACTGTTAAAGAATAACTGTGTAAGAATAGACCTAGTAAAAATTGCTAGACGTTGGCGTTTTCGACTTTTCGAAAATTGTTTTTATTTATTGTTATAGAGTAGCTGTGGTTGATCCTTTGCCCGCAGTGGTCCTAGGTCTAGTACCATCCCCAGAACCTGGGACCCAGCAAAGTGAGACCCCAGAGGGTGAGGCTAACCCTCCACCGCCTCCCTCTAGAACACCTGAAACACCGGGAAATGCGTTCCCTACACAAACCATAGACACCACCAGCGAGACTGTAGCGAGCGCAAATCTGCCCAGAGAGACCGAGAAAGCAGTTTCCCTTGGAACAAGTGGCAGTCCCGATGAAGTAGTCACCTTGTCTGTGTCCTTTACAGAAACCAAGGCAGATGACGCTGGATCTTACATTGGACTAGAGGACACTTTTATGGCTGACGGGATGAGCGAGATAACCACAGCTTTTCACGGTACCTCAGATATGTCACTGCCCACATTCATTGGGCAGGAAGACATGAAGCAAATGGTGGAGGTACAGGTGCCTGCCGTTCACCAGACCACTTCAGGAGCCTGCACTGAGAGCAAATACAGCAGCTCACTTCAAGAAACTCCTGAGAAACCACTGAAAACAACCGTGATCTTTGTGTCACCTTACACCCCTGAGGAAGATGACACATTGCCGGCTGCTGTATCTAATGAAACACCAGGTCCCGTCAAAGTAGATGTGTCTGGTTCTCCATCTGAAGTCTCACTTTCATGTGCCACTCTCAGTGGACCTGGGTGCATGAGACAAAACAGCGGCGCAAGCGACGACATCATCCGTGAGGACCCGGCAGCCTACAGCTCTCCGAGCGACGTCTCTGTCCTGTCATACATCAGCGATACACCTAAGGCCCGTGCTTACATCAGCTCAAGTGCAACCTCCATCTTGGAGGTATGGGGCGAGGAGAAAGATGCACCATCTCCCAATTTAGCTGAACCTGGATCCAGCATGGATAAACACAACGGAGTGATTTTTGACGAAATCATTCCCTTCCGCTGCCCATCTGACGACTCTCTTGGACCAAATACCGACAACGCACGTAAATCAGGACAGGGAATAGACTCAAGTGGGAACACTGTCTTTGATATGGAAGTCATTCTTGACAAGGTTGTTCCCTTCCGCTGCCCATCTGACGACTCTCTTGGACCAAATACCGACAACGCACCTGCAGCAGGGCAGGAAATTGACTCAATTGAGCACACTGTCTTTGAAGGGGAAATAATTTTTGACGAAATTGTTCCCTTCCGCTGCCCATCTGACGACTCTCTTGGACCAAATTCCGATAACACACCTAAAGTAGGACAGGGAATTGACTCAAGTGGGAACATTGCCTTCGACGACAACGTCATTCTGGGCGAAATTGTTCCCTTCCGCTGTCCATCTGACGACTCTCTTGGACCAAACTCTGACAACACACCTAGAGCTGCGCAGGGGATTGACTCAAGTGGGAACACTGCCTTTGAAGGGAAAATCGTTTTTGACGAAATTGTTCCCTTTTGCTGTCCATCTGACGACTCTCTTGGACCAAATACTGATAACGCACCTGCAGCAGGACAGGGCATTGACTCAAGTGGGAAGACTATCTTTGAAGGAATCAGAAGCGAGCATCAGAATGAGAAAGAGTTCGCGCTCGGAACACCGATTGTATCAAAGTCGCTTGATTCAGCTAAACCTAGATCCAACATGGATAAATATGACGAACACGTTATTGACAAAAATGTTCCCTTCAAATATCCATTTAATGATTCTCCTGGACCAAATACAGACAACGCTGCTAAAGCAGGGCACGGGTATGACTCTAGTGGGAACACTTTCTTTGATATGGAAGTCACTCTTGACACAATTGTTCCCTTCCACTGCCCATCTGACGACTCTCTTGGACTAAATACCGACAACACGCCTAAAGTAGGACAGGGAATTGACTCAAGTGGGAACGCTACCTTCGAAGACAACGTCATTTTGGGCGAAATTGTTCCCTTCCGCCGCCCCTCAGATGACTCTCTTAGACCAAATTCCGACAACGCACCTAAAACAGGGCAGGGCATTGACTCAAGTGGGAATAATGTCTTTGAAGGAATCAGAAGCGAGTATCAGAATAAGAAAGAGGTCTCACTCGGAACACCGATTGCATCAAAGTTGCCTGATTCAGCTAAACCTAGATCCAACAAGGATAAACATGACGAAAGCGTTCCCTTCAAATATCCATTTGATGATTCTCCTCGACCAAATACCGACACGGCTGCTAAAGCAGGACACGAAATTGACTCAAGCGGGAACACTTTCTTTGAAGAAGTCATTTTTGACAAAAAATTTCTCTTCCATTGCCCGTCTGACGACTCTCTTACACAAAATACCTACAACGCACCCGCAGTAGGGCAAGAACTTGACTCAAGCTTTCAAATTGTTCCCTTCCGCTGCCCATCTAATGATTCTATTGGACCAAGTATCGACAACGCACCTGCAGCAGGGCAAGGAATTGACTCAAGTGAGCACACTGTCTTTGAAGGCGATATAATTTTTGACGAAATTGTTCCCTTCCGCTGCCCATCTGGCGACTCTCTTGGACCAAATACCGACAACACGCCTAAAGTAGGACAGGGAATTGACTCAAGTGAGAACACTATCTTCGAAGACAACGTCATTTTTTGCGAAATTGTTCCCTTCCGCCGCCCCTCAGATGACTCTCTTAGACCAAATACCGACAACGCACCTAAAGCTGGACAGGATATTGACTTAAGTGGAAACACTTTTTTTGAAGAAAAAGTCATTCTTGA